CCGGTAGAGATCGATATTCGCCAGTTTCGGGTTTTGATCTGTGTGCCAAAGCAGCCATGGCGCATCGAGGATCAAAATTGCTTATCTTGTTATTAGGTTTGGCGTACTCGCTAATAGTAATCGCATCGTAAGTGTTCTCTTCATTTCTACGCACTCGTGCAATGCGTGTTCGCTAGCTTTTTTAGGTCAGTGGCCAGTAATTTTTTTTTGTTTTGGATTTTCAGTAAGAGTTATTACGACATTCTGCAAGTCCCTAAAGGTGCTTCCGAGGATCAGATCAAACGCGCGTATCGGAAGTTGGCTCTGAAGTATCATCCCGACAAGAACCAAGGAAATGAGGAGGCAAATAAGAAATTTGCGGAAATAAACAATGGTATGGTGGTGAGCTTAACACGAGAAGCTTGTTATTGATCTGTCGAATATTCCCGAGTTTTGGCATTTGTTTTGTGTGTAAAGTTTTTAAGACCTGTGTTTTGAACTGCTAGTTGATTAGTGTCTTTCATTATCAGCTTATGAAGTCCTCTCAGACAGTGAAAAGAAGAATATTTACGATAGGTATGGAGAGGAGGGCCTTAAACAGCATGCTGCGAGTGGTGGAGGCAGAGGTGCCGGGATGAACATCCAAGACATATTTAGCTCGTAAGTGGAACCTATTCATTCTGAATTTCACATGTTCATTATTTCAGTGAAGATTTTTATTTCAATCCTCAATGTTATTCCATTTTGGGCACTAGTTCTTGGAGTAGCCAAACAAAAGAAAAGATCGAGAGAAGCCCATCAAGTTAGAATTAGATGTACTAATGTACATTAGGCTTGTCACATAGCATAAGAATTTATGGGCAGAATTTGTTTATTTGAGATTAGTAAAGATTACGGAAGAAAGTGATGTTGTTTAAGCTGATGCTTCATGGTTCTTGTCTTTCTTAGCTATTATACTTAGTATTAGATTATCGTTGCAACATTGGGGTTTCTCAATAAATCTAATAATTCCTCCATCCCAAAATAAAAGTAACACTTTCCCATTTGGGTGGTCCCAAGATAAAGTTTCCACTTTCTTACTTTCCTATTTAAGAAATGAATGTGTGACTCACACCATATCTCATTTTTTTTAACAAATTTCAACCACACGTTTTCTTTAACTTTGTGAATTCAAAGCGTTACATGAATTTGGTATGGATGGAGATGTTACATCTCTTAGTTCCTGAACATATCTTCATATTCCTTTGTATGTTTTCTTACTCTCATTACCATGAAATTGGAATACTCCCCTCTTAAATATTTTAAATGGATAACACAACACTTAAATCATGGTATCTGTAGAGCCACGTGGTTAATTTGTCATGCATTATTTAAAAAAACTAATGCATCATATAGATTAAACTTCTTTGCATGTAACTCGTTTAGTACTTCCTACAATCAATATAGCAACAACAACCCAATTGAGTCCCACTAGAGTAGGGTCTAGGAGGGACAATCACAATAGCCTCAAGGTAAAATAGGTACTTGAAAACATCTCTATCCTGTCAGGGAATTAAGAATTAAACCAATTTGTATCTTAAGTCACTCACTATGGTTGCATATCTGCAGCTCAGAACTGATCACATTATTTTTGTTAGCAATGGAAAATTGACTACTTCTTAGTTTAATGCTCAAAATGTTTACTACTGGATTGAGTTTGAGATAGACAATGAGCCTAACATTATTTTGAGAATGGGAGGGAGTTTAAATTTATGTGGTATGAAATATAAGTTTGTAAATTTGATGGTAGGCAACCACTATAAAGGTGCCAACAATTGATTTGTTCCATCATCTTTCAAAACATTGAATAATAATATTTAATCGAGCAAATGTACTAATGTACCTTTAATCTAGATGTTAGGAAAAACCATAAACATATAGGAGCTTTTTGGCTGGTATAACAGAGAAAATTGGTGTTGCAAGTTCTTGAGCTGATGTTTATTTCTTAGAGCTCAATCTGGGCTGCATAAGCTGTATGATTGTTAGTAATGAGTTCTCGAAATTATCATATTATGATCTGTCTTTCAATGCTCCAGCATATTATTTGAACTCTTTTATGTTACGTTGCATCCTCTATCTTCGTTAGAGGTAATATGCTATTCTGATAAATGAGGATTATTATAGTTTTTTTGGAGGAGGCGGTGCAGAGGAGGAAGAGAAAATTGTTAAAGGTGATGATGTAATTATTGAGTTGGATGCATCACTCGAAGATTTATACATGGGTGGCACATTGAAGGTATGGATTTTAGATGATCTTTATACTCCATACTATATCATATCATACTTGATCTTGTATACAGTCTTTTATAATGTATGGCTCAGTGTACAAGTGGATTAATTTTGCTGCTTAGAGTTCTAGATTGTTAGAAAGAATTCTTCTACAATTTACAGGCTAACTTTCTTCTTGAAGACCTTTGGGCTACACTATCATGCATAATGGGTTTAGTTGTTTAACTCGATTGCATTTAGAGTTTTGTATATTTCTTCCTGGAACCAAACAGGTTTGGAGGGAGAAGAATGTTTTAAAGCCAGCTCCTGGAAAGAGACGGTGTAACTGCCGCAATGAGGTTTATCACAGGCAAATTGGCCCAGGGATGTTCCAGCAGATGACTGAGCAGGTAAATTTTCAATATGACTAATGCCATTTACCAAATTGAGTAAATATTAATCTGAGGAGTGAGGAGGATGACCCAACACGAGGTTAAAAAACTGTAGGTATGTTTGTTGTCTGTGATACCTTTATCTAGCCCTTCGTGGTGCTGCATAGATATCTGTATCTGTGACAACTCGTTTTATACTTGAGAAAGCTTTAATGCCGTTTCTAAGTTTTACGCTGCATCCTTCCAGGTCTGTGATCAATGCCCCAATGTGAAGTTTGAAAGGGAAGGCTATTACGTTACTGTGGATATAGAAAAGGGAATGCAAGATGGGCAAGTAAGCAATCTTTTTTTTAAATAGAAAAAATACAGTTCTGTTTATTCGTATGGCAGGAATAATATGCATGCATGGTTTTTACAGGAAGTGGTCTTTTATGAAGACGGCGAACCTAAAATAGATGGTGAAGCTGGAGACCTTAAGGTTGGATTTTTATCCGTAGTTCATATCTGGTGCTGCACTTCCTCTAATATGTACTGGCTCTCATTTGGTTTTTCTTTTCTATTTTTTTCATGGGGACACAGTTTCGCATTCGAACAGCTCCCCATGATAAATTCAAGAGACAAGGCGACGACCTTCACACCACTGTCACTATCACTCTGGTATGCTTGTGTTCCATTTTCCGTTGTGTTATTACAAAACTTTCAAAGAAACATGATGCTCATATAACACATGTTGTAGTGTAGTTTGCAGTTAATAATCTTCTGTTCCATGAAGCCAATGTTCTTATGCCTCCTGTATACTGAAGTGATGAATTTTTGGCAATATCCAGGTGCAAGCTCTTGTCGGGTTTGAAAAGACGATCAAACACCTTGATGATCATCTTGTGGACATTAGCTCAAAGGTCAGATGTCTCCAGCTCTCAAAGGTTTATCAATCTGAGCAGTGGGAGTAAATAAATGTAAAAATTGACTGACAAATGTCTGTCTGGTTGTGTTCAGGGGATCACCAAGCCAAAAGAGGTCAAAAAGTACAAGGGAGAAGGCATGCCACTTCATTTTAGCAACAAGAAGGGTGATCTATATGTCACTTTTGAGGTTCTCTTCCCCAAATCATTGACGCCGGACCAGAAGACTAAAATCAAGGACATTCTCGGTTAGGAGCATGCCCACATCAATTCCTTTTTCTCCCCTTTCATTTTTGTGTTTGTCGAAAGTCCAATCTCCTCCACCGTGGAAGAAAAAAGCCGCAGCATAATTTGGTCCGAATTCCATTTCTACTAGTCAGAAGTCCATCAATTTTTGTGGCTCTCGTCATTATATACATTGTTTTACACTTTTTTGTTATAACAATTATTAACTAGCCAGGATAGAGACGGGTTTCTTTCCCGACGTGAGGGTCCTTTGATGCCTACTACTACATATCTTGTACCAAAAGCATAATTGTTATTTGTTCATTAATGTAGAAGAATTGCTGGAGTTTGTATATTTCCAATCCATATAAAATAATTATGCGACGGAGCATTATCTGAAACAGATGATATCATCTGTTGTCTGAATTTGTTATGCAGGAGCATTTTTGGACGCCTTTGCTCAAGACCAAAAACAAACATAAAAAAATGTTTTAAAAAAACAAATGTTCATGGTAGGAAACTAAAATGTTGGGTGCTGCACTTGAGCAATTGAGGCTTTAAGATTTGTATCTCAATAGCAATTGGCCAAATGAATTCATGATAAAAATTAGTAAAAAATAATTGAGAAAGATTGAGAATTTTTAAAAAGAATAGAGAGTTGTATGAGGGAGTGTGTTGTGTGTGTGTATTTTTAAAATATGAGAGGATATTTATGCTTGAAATTTTTTTAAAAATAATATTTGAGAAAGGTTAAATATTGGACCGTTGGGGGCATGCAATGACTTTCATCGCTTCTGTTGCGTTAAACGTTTAATGCAGGAAGGATGAAGTGCTAAAAACGCACGTGAAAGACGGTGTTTAACGCTTAAAAATGCAAAAAAAAACCCATGCGTTGTGTCCATTTTTGGTTGCCTGAGGGTGATTTCTTTATGGAAGAGGGAGTGTAAATGTTTGTGTTTGCATAGCATGACGTTCCACATTTTAATTCAACTTGTTAAAATAGATTTATACTTTACTCCGTAATAAAAAAGGATATGGTTTATGGATAAAGTTATTTGTACCCCAAATTTTTGTACCCCATTTTGTACTCCGCAAGTTTGCACCGACATTTTGTGTTGGTGTAAAACTAATATTTGTAAACGCACCAACACTTTGTGTCCGTGTAAATTTTTATTAACGCACCAACACTTGTGTTGGTGTAAACCATCAAAATATTTGTGTATAAATACGGTGTACAAATGAGATACAATTTTTTGTGTAAGTGTAGCATGGCCCATGGTTTATTGATTAAAGCAAAGTTGGGGAAAGATGAAGACTTGAGAGAAAGGTCGTTTGGTCCCTACTTGCGTATGCTACGTGTTAAGGTGCACTCAGCTCCATCTCTTCTCTACGCCATTGTAACTCAACCAGCAAAAGTGTTGAAAGCTTCACATTGTAAAATTCTGGCAATGGATAGTCTCTGTTTGAAGGCGGGGATTCAGGGAATTTCCCCGCCGGCCGCAGGAGTCGCTGCCGGATTGGAATCCCGCACCACTCTTCCGTCCCATGTTGGTCCCTCCGCTGTCCGGCGGGCTTCGACGCCCCTGTCCGTGGACGAGCCCTCCTCCTCACACTGGCATTCGCTTAAATCCCTGTGGCCCAGAACCCGCTGCGACGCCGTTTCGGTCGACGGCTCAGTCTCGGTTGACGAAGAGGAGGTCGCCAGAGATGCCCGGCCGAGCGGAAATTGGGCCGCGAGGTTCCTCCGTTTGGGATCCCCGCGCACGGAAAAGGATGAAGCAAAACCTGACGCCGGATTTGGCGAACCTGATGCTGAATTTCAATGCGGAAGCGGTTTCACAGATGAAGAAGATCGCGATGTCTGCCCTGTTGATGACGAAGATGATGCCGATGTAGGATTCAACAGGGATTCCTTCTCCAAACTTCTACGCCGGGTGTCACTCAGGGATGCTAGATTGTATGCTCGAATGGCAAATCTGGGAAATTTGGCTTATTCCGTTGCCCAGATCAAGGTCTGTTCTTAAATACTCCCTATTAATTAATGATGCTAGGATTGTTTAGATTCCAAAAAAAAAAACAGCACAAATTCGAAATTTGTTTACCATTTCCAGTTGCTATCTTGTACTCCATAAAGGCTTTGCTTTTCAATTTGCAGCCTGAAAATCTTCTAAGGGGTCATGGGTTGCGCTTCATCACCTCATCGACAAAGAAGAAACAACTGGCAAAAGAAGCTGAGAATGTGAGGGAAGTAGCGAAAGAAGATAAACTTAAAAAGGGGAATGATGTTGCTATAGTCGGCTAAAGGGGAGAATGGAATGAATCTGAAAGAAAATGGTGGGAATGGGATTCGGGCATCTGCTGTTTACAGGGCAGCTTCATACTTATATTCCCATACATCAGGCTTTCTAGCGTTCAAATCTTCTCGGCCAGATAGGGATGAGCTTGAGAGGAGGTCCATTGGGAATACAGATGTGGTGAATGTGGAAGAAGTAGCTTCGTTTGTGGCCACTACTGAGTCAGTGACGTGTGTAGTTGCTGCAAAGGAGGAAGTGAAGCAGGCTTTTGCAGATGATCTTAACTCGACACATTCATCACCATGTGAGTGGTTTGCTTGTGATGATGATCTAAGTGCGATAAGATTTTTTGTCATTCAGGGTTCTGAGACGATCGAATCTTGGCAAGCCAATCTTCTCTTTGAACCTGCTCCATTTGAGGTAATCATGATTCAAATTATTACTCGCCCTATTTAGCATATTCATTAGTTGCGTAGTGTTTGGTAACATCCATTTTGTATAAGGACACAAAATGAAGCTAAAGTTTGTACATCAATACATATAACGAGGCTGCCAAGAATGAATATCTTACACTTTCTAATTTCAATAGAAACAGTAACTTCAGATGCCAAGAGTTGGGATTCGCCTCGGCCAACAGAGATGTTGGTGGGACGGACCTAATGGGCTGAATCCATAAGAAATGATATGAGAGTAGGATTTTGGCTCATGTGTTCTTTGAGCCAGAATAACTGGCTCTCTACTACCAAGTAGGGGTAAGATTTGCGTACACACACTACATTTTGTGGGATTTTTGTGAGTTTGTTGTGTTCTTTGGTCAGGGTCTAGATGTGCCGGTGCACAGAGGTATTTATGAGGCCGCAAAAGGAATGTATGAGCAAATTCTGCCAGAAGTGCGTGCACACATTAAATCCAGAGGCAAACGTGCCAAATTCCGTTTCACTGGACATTCGCTTGGTGGAAGTTTATAATTACTTTTAAACCTTATGCTGCTGATAAGAGGTGAAGTTCCAGTTTACTCTTTACTTCCTGTCATAACTTTTGGTTCACCAGCGGTTATGTGCAGAGGAGACCACCTCCTAAGAAAACTCGGATTGCCTCAAAGCCATGTCCAATCAATCACATTGCATCGAGACATTGTGCCCCGAGCCTTCTCTTGCAAATACCCCAATCATATTGCAGAGCTTCTTAAAGCTGTCAATTCTAACTTCCGCAACCATCCATGCCTGAATAGCCAGGTAGAAAATAGAAACCCATACGCATTTTCTCTACTGGAACATATTGACTCTTGGCATATACTTTGCTAAAAACCCCATTTTTTATTCTGTGATTCTCATGTCACCAGAAACTGTTGTATGCTCCAATGGGAGAGGTTTTCATCCTCCAGCCAGATGAAGAATTTTCCCCGAGCCACCACCTCCTCCCTGCAGGGACTGGTCTGTATTTATTAAGTTGTGCAGCAGGTGGCAATGCCAGCAAGGCAGAGAAGCAAATCCGAAGGGCTCAAGCTGTGTTTTTGAACTCACCACACCCACTTGAGATACTAAGTGAGAGGGCGGCGTATGGTTACGGAGGAACAGTGCAACGAGATCATACTTGAAATCCATCAGGGGAGTCATTCATCAAGAACTGAACCGCATTAGGGAATGCAGGAAGGAACACATGAGAGTTTGGTGGCCTTTTGGTGGAGAAACAGACGGATTTAATGTTGTAAGGGCACCATTATCATCATCATCATCATCATCATCTGATAAGATGGTTGAAAGATGGGTTAATTTTTCCGGGATGTTGAGGACGGGAAAAGAGTCTGTAAAACGGTTCAGCAGGCTGGTTGCTTCCCAGCACATGCATTTGCTTGTGGTGCTTTTGCTTCCTGCCCGGTTACTTGTCATTGATTGCAGAAGCTTTTAGTCGCGGTGTGTAGAAAGGAATGTGGATTGATTGGACCATTTGTGATTTGTTTGGTTCTTGAAGGATAGGATAAGATGTCCTCTGGGTTTCAGAAGGGGGAGTACGCCATTCTTTTGTATGTAAACACGATTCTTTGTATGGAAGCTATGTGCATAAATTTGTATTGAACAACTCATTAGAACCCCACGAAAGGAACTTGTGAAATTGCATACATTCTTTTTAATGAGACAATGAAAAAACACTGAATATTGTGATTTGTTTGGCTTAGAAGGTAACTAGTGAAGAAAGCTAGAAAATTGTGATAAGACAGAAAAAGAGAACAAAGATGGGTTTCGTACATCGTTTGGAATGAGAGAAAAGGTTGTTACCTTTAAAATGCAACTCATTTTTGAAATGAGTTCAAAGAAACAAATAAAGTTCAAAAATAGATTTTTTTTTTTTAAAAAAAACTATCATTCTTTTCAAATTTTTCTCTTTTTTCTTTGTCATCCAACAAGAGATATTATGTTAGCTCTAAAAGAAAGTGTACGAACACTTACTACAATCACTATCTCTTGTATAGAAACAAATAACGTCACAAGGTACCAAACATTCCTAATGAACAAAGCATTTCATTCTCAAGTGTTTATGCAAATGCCGATAGGATACTACAACTTGTGCATTCTTAACCAAAGCATAATGTTTGGATTATACGGAGTATATCTTATCTATGAATATCCGGCAAACGGATTATTGTTACAATAAATATATATATGAAGCAGCAGTAGCAGCACAAGAAGAATCTAAAGATCGATTTTTGCAGCCAAATACCAAGAGTGCATGGCAAGGCAACCAAAAGACATGATATTGGCAAGAGAGGAGAGACCGTGAATCATGCCGAACTTCTTGTTCATGGCAGCAAGCTTTGGGTTGACCTTTGCAACCTCTTGGTTCTTTGTCCACCCAACTTCTTCTCCAATGTTTGCCTCTCTCTCAATTTTGTGCCTTTCCTTCATCATCTGCACATTTTTTACATCTCACCCACAATCAATATAACCAGTGAATTATCTTTGTCTTGAAATAAACTAACAAGTCAATTAGTTCTTCATTCTTCAATGGTTTCTTTGCTAATTGTACTTCTGTCTCCGAGTTGTGGGTCTTATGAGAAACATGATTTATACTACATATTAGGGTAAGGTCTACATGCACACACCCTCCTAGACCCTACTTTCATGGTATTTTACTGGGGTTGCTCTGGTTGTAATTGTCAATTGGTTCTTGTTCCCTCCATGAAACACTAGTTTTACAACTTCTAGCCATAGAAATCATACAATCACAAGACAAAAGCATCTATGGCTTCCATGAATTCATAGTTATGAATCAAGAATTCAAATTTATCAGTAGCAGGTTAGCTATTCCAGTGTTGTGAAAAGAGCAAAAAAGACTCAATTTGTGATTTTGGGTCAACCCATTAGGCACAAAAAAAGAAGCAAGGGACAGTATTACATTACTTTGGTCAGAAGGGCATTGGTGAAGGGAAGGAAGATGCAGAGTTATATATCCAATCAAGAGGAAGTTGTTCATGTCTTGTGGGCAAATTCAGAGTGATTTGCAATAAAACACTCATTCACATAGTGATATAGATTAGTACTCCCTATCAAAGAAAGAAGTTTGAATCATTTATTAGTGGGAGTACCTTTATAGTCATGGGAGTGAAGAAGAAAAGATTGCTGAGGTTGAATGCGAATGCACCGAGAATGAAACCAATCTGATACTTTTCTGCACTGCTCGAGGTCTTCCATGGATGCAAGTAGCCGAAAGCAGCCACCGATCCGGCGCAGCAAACTCCGACCAAAGAGAAGTACGCCGGGAACATCTTGCTCTGCAGATTCCCGAACTGATGCCTCGGAAGATTCCTGCAGTCCAAATTTCATTCAAACAAAACCGACCAAAATTAATGATTACAATGAGAAAACGAAATGTGGAGGATGATGGATTACTTGAACATGATGATGCCGCCGATGAAGGTGACCCAAAGAGCGGCGCCCCACGCGGTGGAGAAGCACAGCAGGTGCGCCAATTTCAGAAACGCGAGAGGGCGTTGACCGTCGGATTTTGACCCGAAGGTTTCCGGCGAAAACACTACTCCCATCGCTAAGAAAGCTACGGCGGTCAGGAATCTGGTCATCCACCCCATCCCTCTGTCGTCGACTGCGAGAATTCGCCGGAAAACCTGAAGGCGGTGAGATTTTCAATCGGAAATAAATATCCTGTGCTAGATTTGCCGCCTGCTCGTGAGAGACCGGAAATTGATTCCACCGGTTGAAAGCAGAGGCGGAGTGGTTGGGGTTGGTGGATTCCAGAACCTTCCATCCAGATGAACTGTTTGTACCCACACAGTACTAATAAGATGAAGCCCAATTTTTTAATTGGAAAACTATTTGGGCTTCATAGCCCATTATAATTGGACCAAGAATTTAGGCAAAACCAGTCTCACAAAAGAGAGCCTGTTTTTTTTTTTTTTGTGAGTAAGTTAATCTCAATTATGCATGTTTTCGTTCACAAAAAATATATTTAGTGATTCGTATTTTACTACAGTATATTTTACACATTTTTTAAACTACATAATTTGTACCTTTATTACAAAAATATTGTTGTCACTATCATTAAAAAAAAGTTTATGTCATGTTATTTACGTGTCAAACTTGAACTTTTCTGTTTGAAGAAATCATCCTAAATAGAAGTAAAAAAATTTAGAGAAAATATCAAAATAAAAGTTTCATGTTTTTATCTCCAAAGTAAGAATTTGCATTGGGGTAATGTAATATTTTAACTCTTATTTTAGTAAGAATTTCCAAAAAAAGTAATTCTCATTCAACCAATTTCTAACCATGAAGTTTACATGGAGAATATTGTATTGTACTCCATATATTGATTAAAATGGGGCAAGTAAAGGAGAAAATCCAGTGCAATGCAATTCAAACTTGAAAAACAACAATAATTAGAGGTCACGTCACTGATGAATTTCTGGATTTTTCCCAGACTGCCCTTCTTTATTGCAGCAGCCAGGCATGCAGTTCTATCATCTATGCGCCCTCTTCCACCNACATCTTGTCATCCATAAACAAAAACGCCGTTGAGATTCGATCATAAGATCTCGGGTTACACATTTTCTCATTGGACATTGCGGGCGATCCTCCGTCACCCAAAAAGATAATTTAAGTCGTCAACTAATTTAGTTTGTAGCCTTTGAGAAGGAAAAAAGAAGAAAATAAAATGAAAAATTAGCTTGTGGTTGGTTAGTGATGAAAAGAAAAGAAAATGGGAGTGAAAAGAAAAATGAGAAAGAGTTTTCTTTTATATTGGGTAGTTTTGTTATTCAAATTGAAGTTAGTTTGGTTTTCTTTACCCCAACCAATTCAAACAAAATGGGAAACAATTTTATTGAGCAGTTTCATTCTAACTGATAGCGTAAATTACCATGCAAATGCTAAGTCTAAGTAGTCGGAAGGCTTGTAGGTGGAAACACCTGTAACCCGGTTTGTTATTAATGATAATAGGAGCTATTACAAACAAGCCGTGTGGATTAATTAAAGCATGCCTCACAAATGAGGCTTTTAGGGCCCCAAGCACGTCAAGCACGTCTCTGATTATCCAGCCGGTCAGTCTTCTGACCGGTCCCCTAGTCATACTTCGAGAATAGAATCTGGATCTCTGCCGCCCGACCTACTCATCCAAACCGGTCAGACAACCCGGGTTGAAGAGGTCGCGCGCTGTCACATCTGGTACCACCCAGGCGGTCGGACCAACCGGGCGGTATCCATGGGTTATTACCCGTCACTAACCAAACACAACTGAGATTTTGAGTTTCTTTGATTTTCTTTTTTTTTCCTTCATATTTTTCTTTCCTTACTAAATAATTCGAATCAAACATTATGTAGAAACTATATTTACTTCATATTTTTCAACTTTATTTATTTCTTTTCTTTTTCTTTCCTTCATACGACGTATTTTTCTTTCCTTCCCAAAATGTAAATTTTCTTTATATAAAAATTATTGGTGAGACTAAAGACATAAAGGAAAAATACGAACCTCATGGCTAAACCATTGTCTCGTGGGTTGGGCCAAGACAGTTGTATAGATAAATGAAATTTTAGAGTCCATCCAGGTCGAGTCCAAATTAAAGAGGTATTGGATATGAAGTAAATAAACTTCTAATTACAAGTAATTAGATTGATCTAATTCACACCCGATAATGGAATTGAATTACTACTACTCAAAAGATGCATGTGATTCATATGGGGGACACTCATCAACCATGCATGTACGGAGTATTTTTTTTCATTAATTCATTCTGATAAATTTTTTTGAATAAATGAAAAAAAAAATGAAACGTAGCTCTCACCCAGGGAGCTAGCTAGGTGGCACACAGTGAGAGACAGTGTAATAAAAAGGTTAATGATGAGCTGGGAAAGTGGAAACATCAAAATCCTAATCACCACACTCAAAACTCTTCCTAAATCCCAATTTGTAATCAAATTGGAAACAGAGACACTATATACTAATACAAAAATAGAGACACACAGACATTCAATATCTATATGTGCATAGAATTAAGCGTCCTGTATATACTTATTTTTTGCATTAGTGTATACTCCCTCCGTCCCATAAAGATGGGTACGGTTTGACTAAAGTAGAAATTGAGGGATGGATAATTTTGTGTTGACTTTCCAAAAATACCCTTGATGTGATGAGTAAAAGTATGATGTAATGTGTAGATTATTAGAAAAAAAATGTGATATGATAGGTATGGTTTGAAAAAGTAAGGGATAAAAGTGGTTTTTTAATAGAAATGGGTAAAAAATTGTGGGACATAATTTTTTTGAAACGTGTAAATCTTTTTGGGACGGAGGGAGTATTTTATATACACTAAATGGGATTTGCCAAAAAGAAAAAATATTAATAGGACATGAATTGAATAAATAAACAGTGAATGAATAGGGAGCAGTAATTAGCTGGAGCTGGTTGTGTCTCTTATATCGCTGCAAATGTGCTGGCTACAATTCCTCACCTTCTCACTCCCATCGTCCCATCCACATCACAAAGTTTTGTAAAAAAAATTTCTACTCTCTTCGTTTATGATAGATTTTTTCAGATATTATATCTATACTTATTTTTACTACTTAGAGCAC